GAAAAAGAAAAATATAAAGTAATAATAATCATTCTTAATGAAAGTTTTAATAATATTTTAGGGTTCCGTACGTCCGAATGAAAAACGGAAACCTTATAGGATCATTCGTGCGTCTGTCTGTCCATCCATAACAGTCAATTTGCTCCGAATCTACTGGACCGATTGATTTTAAATTTAGTACAATGNTTACATATTGGTTTATAATTTTAAAAATTAATAGTTTTAAAGTTCTTTAAAAAAATGGATCAAAATTGACTATTCCCCCCTTATCTCTGAAACTACTAAACCTAAAATTTTGAATAAAATACAGAAAATAGTCCATTACTTATAGATAACAGGAAAATTAATATCAAGTCTGTGGCCTGAACATAACGTGGTAAATCATTTGCAGGAAACACAATTTTTTTTTAACTATACAATGTTAATTTGATTCTTCGGTTAGGATTCCGTACGTCCGAATGAAAAACGGAACCCTTATAAGATCACACGTGTGTCAGTCTGTCCGTTTTTATCGAAATGTAAATTATCGAGATTCTACCATAAATGTATGCCACAGAAATGCGTAGGTATCCCCCACACCTCCATGAATGTTCAGGATCGTTTTAAGTGCAAGAGCAGCGCCTCACTCTATTTAAAAATATTTACGGATAATGTGTATCTAAGTATTCAGCAGAATTTAACATGGTAGTAACTACATGAAGAAATACCCTTACGTTGCTGTCAAACAACTCCCAATAAATATATTGGCGTAGTTTGTAACATAGCCAACATTAGCACCTGTTGAACGCGATAGATTAAGAGATTAAAACGCCAACTAGGAAGTACCTGCTATAGATATCATTGACGTTGTATACGGAGAGATTAGTAAATACTTTGTGTAACTTCCCACCTTTAAATGATATCATCACGAATTTACACTAACAATGACCTACGTAATTCCCAGAAAATCTGAAAAAGTGTAAATTGCAATAATATTATATGTTCATTTAGGAAACTTGTAACCGATAATTTATAACGATGAATTTTTAATCAACGTCAGTTCTATTCAAAACGATTTTTTTTTCACCGTGAGTAGGTAGCAAGCATCAAATCCAAAAGAACTAATCTGCCATCAACAATTTTCCATCAAAATAAATGAAAACTCCCTTCACGTATAGATAACTAGCGTTCTTTGTAATGGTTCGTTGTAACAGAAGTACATTACTGATTGTATACCTACAAGAAGATCTAAACCCTTTTTCATGTTATTTGATTTATAGAACGTTTCTACTGTTTTATTTTTTGTTTTTTAATCGGATCAGTCTAAATATAATACTATTAAGTAATGGTATACTTAATACAAACGATTTTAACTTCGTAGGATTAAATAAATTTCACCCCGAAATTGATTGTACAGGTTAAACGTGTAGGTACCGTTTGTAACAACTCCCATCAGTAACTTAGTGGAAGAAGAATCACCTCAGAAGGTTTACTTTACACAATTTTTCTTTGTTTCAGTGTCGGACTTCACACAGCAGCTAGGTCAGATTTATGAGCATCAAGCTGAAGAATTACAATTGTTGGTGTCCAATTTTAGAAAAAGGAATGGAGAACTACGGAAAGAAAGGTAATTTTAAATTTGTTTTCTTATATGAACCTACATGAAAAGCTTACAAAACTTACAAGTCAATATTATTTGTATCTAAGGGACCACATTTTCCAATTTGTCCACTCCAAGACTAAGATAACAAAGATTTTAAGTTTGAATCGTCGATTCCTACCGGTGTTAGATACATTATTTTTTTTACAACATATTAGGATTATAAAGAGCAATTTTACAAATTTTATAAAAAAGTTTTCATTGTTTGTTTACTCGATAAAAAGTAAATAAAAGTAATGTTACAATTTATTTCTACGAAGACAACAAGCCGTCAATGTGATATCGCTAGAGAAATGAATTAGGTCTATATTTACAAAATTTCGGTTAATAACTATTGACAGTTTGACGAATTGCCAATAACAAAGAATCGAATTGTGTGGGTCGCTTGTTTTGCCAATTTATTGATTTTACATCAAAACATATTTGTCTATTATCTCATGTTATACACATTTATAAGGTGAACGTAATTCTTCTACCTTCCTTTTGTATTCCTTTGCCCATAAGACAGTGACGCAGGTATGATTTTTAAATCGCCCATTAAATTCAATGTAGGCAATAATGTTATGGTAAAAAATTTCTTGGACGACACTGTACACAAAATCTAAAAGGGAGAATACCTACAATGTAGTGCAAAGCCGGAGCATAGGGCGAAAAATCCATTTCAGTCTCCATTTAGGAATTATGAGAATAGATATACATCTAAAACGTATAATTTATGACACCAATCTTGAATTAATCTTCCACACTTATGCTAATGCAATTTTTGTGTAGTAGTAGCTAAACATTATGAAATGTTTTAAAATTCAGTCGCGCTCGAATAATCCAAACTATTTTATTTCAGACGGATAACTTGATTACTCCGCGATTTTGTTCGTTGCTTCGCTGATTAAAAACGCTTCTTGAAATTACAGCTTCCGTTTTATTGCACAAAGATGCTCTCAGAAACGTTGATTTAAACGTACATAGAGCAACAAAGGCATGATGAATTAAACTGAAGTTATCTACAGAGAAATTCTGACTGGAATTACTAAGCATAAGATTTCTACTATCATCTATCATAAGCTTTTTAAAAACTAAACTAAAACTAAATTAAAAGATAAATTTACTTTTTTATATGTCCGCCTGTTAAGGCTCAGTTTAGTCCATATCCTTATTAGAAAAGGATTTTCTTAAACATTATTGAATCCGCAGTAAGTACTCTGAAAGCGAGACTCGAGTCTCCGTCTCTCAACGAGTCTCTCTTGTGTCGCTGAGAGAGACTGTCAAAAAACCTGTTTAGCGTCTCTGAACGAGAGATTCGAGTCGCTCATAGAGAGATCCTCATTTCGTATCCAGTCTCTGAACGAGAGACTCGAATCTCTGAATGAGAGACTCGAATATCTCAATAAGTGGTGTCTCGATAGACATGGTTAAATTTTTTTAAAAAGTTCAACATATTTTAGAGATAGCAATCTTTCTACGAGAGACTCGAGTCTCAATTTTTCAGTTTTATTCATTGAGTCTCTCTGTGAGAGACTCGAATCTCTGAATTAACAATTTTATCGTTCGAGTCTCTCATACAGAGACTGTGAGAGATCCATTAAAACATCTAGGCAATAACTGAGAGACTATGAAAGACTGTGAGAGACGCTCTCAGACACACTGAAAGACTCTAAAAGACTGAGAGACTGGAGAGAGACTGAAAATTTTTGACTAGGAATTATAGCAAAAACATAAAATAATTGTAAATTGCTTCTATAAAACAACTTTCGTAGCAACAAAAATGATTGTAGAAGGAGAACCCATAAATTTCTCAAATGTGGGTGTTATGTTTATTCCGTGTCGCGTCTGAACAGTGAAATGAAATAGGTAAAGAAATGATTTTTCCAACTGGCTATGCTATGCTCAACAGGAATAATTTATGACTTGGTAAAGTGAACATCTAGTGGAAGTTCGTTCTGAAAGACACCTGTGGCTTCTTGATGTTAGATCCGGCAATATTTTGGCAATCAAAAAACAGATTGTGCGGAAAATTTCAAGGAATTTCCGGAGCATATAATCATCATCCGTGATATTCAGCTAAACTCACCGAAATTGCACACAGATTAAACTTAATACCAAGTATTATATAGGTGGAAACTAATAGGTACATTAAAATTTCATTAATAGTTTGAGAAAGTCGGTTAATTACATTTCGTAAACAACCGTGTTATGTTACACTCTTCGAATCTGGATTTAAGATGATTGAAACTGAAGCCGGTGCACTTTATCAAATTACATTTTATTAAAATTAACTTTAATTAGGCAAACAAAAGAGAAACTGAATACGATTAAAGTATGGCGCGAACAAACAAGTTTTTTCCCGTCTACAACTCTTGTGGAGATGAAAAAAGAAAATTAATTTTGAAATTTAATTTCAAAGACAATAGTTGGATGTTATTGAGAAAATTACGCCCGGCTGTCAGATATTTTTAAACAAGTTAACTATCCTCCTTGTTCAAACGAAAAACAGAGAAGCTATTGAAAATCCATTATCAGACAGCGAGGCAATTAATTGAATCTACCTCAGCTTGATGGAAATTCATTGTAGAATTAAAATTAAAACACTTGTAATTTTTCTCAGAGAGACTGAATGAATAAAACTAAAAAATTGAGAGAGTTGAGTCTCTCGTAGAAAGACTGGGATCTCTGAAATATGTTGATGTTGAATTTAAACCATGTCTATCGAGACACCACATTTATTGAGAGATTCGAGTCTCTCGTTCAGAAACTGGATACGAAATGAGGATCGAATCGATCCTCTCGTTCAGACTCTAAACAGTTTTTTTGACTGTCTCTCTCAACGACACCAGAGACTCGATGAGAGACGGAGACTGAACCTTTTTATCGCGGGGTATTACATCGGTTAGGAACAGAACTAGAACCTCTAGTCAGTCAGTCAGTTTTCCAAAATGTTTAGTTTTTCTTAACATATAGACACATGTATCTATTATCATTTAATATAAATCACACGATACTCATATAATAGTCCATTGCAAGAACTTGAGCATGTTTTAGTCACGCAAGTTGGAGCCGTGCAACCAGTCGTCCTGCAGTCTTCTTTAATGAACGTCGAATGTCGTGTATGTATCTGTGGCCTAGGCAAACAAATTGCTATTATACACCTAGATCAAATGAATTCAAATTAAATGATTGTCTTAAATTACGAAAAAAGATTAGAGGAAAAACGCCAATGTTTTTAATTAACAAAATAAATTTAAGGCAAAAGAGAATGAACTAAGGTTTCGTTATTATGATTTCTGTTAGAATAAAGACTTACAAAAACAGGAACTGTTATGAATTTGTTAAGAAATGATTTCATATTATGAAAAATATTCACCAGGTACCGTTTGTAACAACTCCCATCAGTAACTTAGTGGAAGAAGAATCACCTCAGAAGGTTTACTTTACACAATTTTTCTTTGTTTCAGTGTCGGACTTCACACAGCAGCTAGGTCAGATTTATGAGCATCAAGCTGAAGAATTACAATTGTTGGTGTCCAATTTTAGAAAAAGGAATGGAGAACTACGGAAAGAAAGGTAATTTTAAATTTGTTTTCTTATATGAACCTACATGAAAAGCTTACAAAACTTACANTAAATTAGTACTTAGAGTCATTTTTGCAATTTCAATAATTACTGGTAAATTGAACAGAATGAACCAAACTACCATTAACTCAATGGTTAAAAGCATTGATATGCTTTAGCCAAAAATAAAATAGAAAATGCCAAAAATATTCCAATTATATTCGTATCTATCAGTAAAGTAGACGCTCGAAGGATAATTTTTAATTAAATAAGCATTTGCAATTTAAATTTTTACCCTTAGAAAATGTCTTAAAATTATCTCACTGTCATTCGTTTCAGTTGATTTAAAAATGTAGATTTCCTTGAAGATAACTGAACTCATGTTCTTAATTTGGCTAACCTTTTTAATTAGTCGTCCAAGTTTTTCTCCTTGTAAACTGAAAGTATAATTACATATTATAACTGTGTGTAATGGAACTGTTAATGGAAAACCGTTTGTTTCGAGTAAATCGTTGTAGGTAATACTGCGGTCTTAAAAGCTGCATTAGATAGGTACTTAAAAACATCTGCTGAAGCATCTAGACGTTCTAATTAGCCCTGGGATTTTTTTAAGGGACCTCATCGTTCTATAATATCCTCGCCAGCATTCAGAATAAGTTGTAGGTAATGTAAATACAAAAACTCAACGAAAGCTTTTGAATATACCTAATGTGCAGATTTTGATATTATTACAATATTTAGGGTATCATCAAAAGCAAGCTACACTGTTCTTCGACAACTTGTACTTTTGTTATAAATAAATAAAACATTAATTACTTTTTGTATTTGCAATTCTCAATAAAGTTTTGAAACATTCTCTTCAAAATATAACTATAATCGGTAATGAAAATGTTTCATATTAATATCAGTTGTGGTAAAAAATTTTCCAGTCTCTCACAGAGAGACTGAATGAATAAAACTGAAAAATTGAGAGACTCGAATCTCTCGTAGAAAGACTGGAGACAGTTATGGCAACCTAGATCCGAAAAAGGTCAGCAGAAGCATTTAATTGCAATCGGAGATCATATTGTAACCTAAATTTTACACTTTGTAGTTAAGAAATTGTACTTTTAGTATTTCTTTGTCTTATTCTGATATCTCTTTTCGTTCCCATGTTACGATCTAATTTCCCAAACTTACGGACCGGTCGTCATACATTATTGAATGAATTTTCTAATGTATTAACTCAAGCGATCAATAATCTAGTCGATTAGTTTACATATTCCACACTAACCTTATTAGCAATGTAATCTTAAGCTTATCACGTAAATTGCCTAACGTCCAGGCTAATTTGCATGTCGAAATAACGTCAAAACTCCCACAAATGGTGACGTCCCACCTTTCAATGAAATGTAATCGAATGTAGCTGCACTTCTTTTATGGTGCTCTCTCTAATGTGAATTCGTATAAGGATTGGATCATTTTATTTTGAAACGGAAAATTTTAAATACTGCAACAAATTATTAANATCGGTAATGAAAATGTTTCATATTAATATCGTCAACGATTTATTACTGCTATTAAAAAATATAATCTGTAATCTTATCAACGATTTCGTTAAAACCCAATAAAAAGTACATTTACGCCTTATATAAGAGATACAATCAAAACACGCTAAGTATGGGAAATTCATAATTTATTCTAATTCGAAAGCATTTAGTATGTTTGGACTTGATCACAATATATTTTTACTTTACGAGAAGTGCTTTTACATTTGCCTTTTCAATTTTTTATTCGTCCACGAAATGAATACCAATGTACCATGGTATTAGGGAAAAGTGCCCGAACGAGTAAATTGGACGTTGAATAATCGCGACCCGTTTGTATTAAAACAATACCTGCTTTTACACGCTAACATTTACTCACCCGTATTGATCCTCTCGGTCTACCTGCTGGAGTTCAAATAAATATTTAATGCATAATGGCTACATGAAAGTTAAATTGAAATGGACGTATTGTCCATCCGAAAATAGCTGTCTGCTTTAATTCCATTATTAGGTACCTACATTGCAAAGCAATCCGGTGCTAAAACTGCCACTAACAACAGGGCCGGCCTTAGCCATCTAGGAGCCCAAGGCGAGTCATGTCTTTGATACCCTTTTAGGTATATTTATTTCATTACAATTAAAAGAACGAAATGTGTGCTAGGACACACAGTAGATGTGAAACTTCAGCGGACAAGTGGAAAAACGAATCGCAACAAAATTTTTACTTCAAGTTTTACGGGCAGGTTTTCAAACTGGACAACTACCTACATTAACAATCTGCTCGTAAAACTTGAAGTAAAAATTTTGTTGCGATTCGCTTTTCCTCTTGTCCGTTGAAGTTTCACTTCTACTATGTGTCCCAGCACACACTTTGTTTTCACAGGTTTCCTGCAAATTATAATTTGGTTTTTATACAGACCGCAAATAGAGGCAATGATGCCTAGCCACGTGAAGAGCAGAGGTAAGAAAACAACAGCTAAGCACAGCACACGCCGCCAGGACTCTAGCGGATTCCCCGCTCTCCGCTCGGCTGCGCACTATATCCATCTAATACAGCTGTTGCCCTCTCTCCGTCGCCGCCAGCCTTTGTCTCCCTTCGCCGCTGCCCCCTCTTACCACCCGATATACCGCCTACCCTCTCCACGCGGCCGTAACTCTTTTTCGTGACGCATCTATAAAGAAATTTCTCTTCAAAACTTATTTTGAATTTGTAACATATCTGTTAAGTTGACGGGCACGCGCGGCGCCCTGTAGTACTTGGCCCCTGAGTAGCCACCCCTGTTGCCCCCCCCCCCAAAGCCGGAACTAATTAATAATACGTAAATATTTACGCGCAATTTTCCGTTACAATTAACGAATTTTTCTTTGCAGGCCAGCATGTCCAAGTTCGTTATTCCATGTATGGGAGACTCTTCTTCAGGAAGTGGAGATTGACTCTCAAGGACTCAGCGATATAGCATCTATATTGGGTAGACAAGTATCCAGGTCGTTGCTGGAAAAGTCCTTTTTTAGAAAAATCCAATCCAGAAAAGTATTCACTCATAGGGACAATTATGAAGCCATTATTAGTAAAACAGAGGAAAAACTTTCAAAGGTAGGACTTTTTTACTTATTGAATTATTCCAAAGTGTACCATCTACTTACACAAGGTTCGATATTGACTTTTAACTCCTGCATCACTTTTTATGCAATTTCACAAAGAAATAAAGGAAATAGAACCTTAAATAATTGCTTTATACATAAATGAAAGTGGAACCAATACTTTTTCAAGCCCATACGAATATTTCACATTAAATTTAAAACAAATTAGTTTCAAAATTGCATAATAACATATTTGATGTGGTTGTTTAGTAAAACGCAAGCAGAAATTAAATATACACTCATTAAAGATATCACGAAGTCACATTCGTACACTAATCATAAATCGACTTCATAATTTGTAAAACTACAGTTTACCCTCAATTTATAAATTTTTACCATTCAGTAAACCGTTATACAGTTATATATGCATACATAGAATGCAAAAATAAATTTGTTGCACCGTATTAAATTGCAATCCGCTAAAATTTAATGAAGGCATTACTGTGTATATAATTCATAAGTTTTTGACAACCGCTCTAGCATTTATTTGTTGAACATAATAAAACAGGAATATTGACTGTACAGAACTTCACTCGTGTTTAATAATATTGGTTTGAATGTACCATAAACACAATCAAATACGACAATATAATTAGTTTGATATGTTATCAGATCGTTAAAGTTCTCTAAAAACAAAACTAATTCATATAAATTAGTACTTAGAGTCATTTTTGCAATTTCACGTTACTTTAATTTAGCACACCATATTCATTCACGGGTAAAGGTCCACACCTCCCAAGGTACCATAAAAAGTTCGTGGCGGTCTCACCCCCATAAAAAGTTATGGGGGTTGAAAGTTGATTATTTTGACAACTTCTATACACTATAATTCAAATAAAATTCAATAAAATAATTATTTTCAAGCTGGTGGAGGTTGGGGATCGGAAGAGGGNAAAACCCGATAACCTAACCTAACCTACCCTATTGATAAAGATATTTAAATTATCTTTTATATAACTTTCTCCATATTTTTATGTATTTTTCATTAGTTTTACGTTTGAATATTGTTTAAGAATGACTATATAAATATTTACATATTGGCATATTTATTAAGTTTGAACCCCCATAACATATTATGGGAGTGACACCACCACGAATTTTTTTTGGTACAGTGGTGGGAGAGACCTCCTCTTTCGATCTCCCTATCCTCACCCCCTACGGGGGTGGGAGCCATCATCTAAACCTTTACCCATTCACGAAATCTTTTCATATAGTTAGTTATTAAAATTTTAAAATACTTATAAAATAAAATAAAAAATGTGTACTTACCAATAACATCAAGTGTTCGTGCTGATAGTGTAAAAACGTTAACTTGAGAGTCAGCTTGAGTAGCAATTAACGAATTCCGAAAAGCCACCACAATTAGTGATCTCCGATCTATTCTTCTCTAGCCATTATTATCATGGTACAAAGCATGGCATGTAGAAACAATAAAGAATGGAAATAGAAAGGGACCGCTCCCAGCAATTTTCTAGCTGACGAAACAATACTACCAAAGCGAATTTAATAATTATTATCCCTAACGACCACTCGGCGCTTCCTTTTCTTTTCAAACTGAGGCGCGTCTACATTATGTAACACACTTCAGACCTTTTGTCATCTCCTGTTGTTGTTCACTCTGGAATTCCGAAGTACCAACTTTTCAAATCTTACCTTGTGCTAGTCCAACTTTAACTTAAAAGCAGACGGATGTACAGAAATATATGAAGTTACCACCTGGTTATATTATTGTTTAATAACAGTTGAAAAATGTTTCAATGAATTTTTAGTTAGCCAATATAGCTTTTGTGAATAATTACTTAATTCCTAATACTAAGTGCATAAAATGTTCAAATCCTTTCCATATTTTACCGAATAAATCGTAAACCGTGTTCTCCAAAATCGGCTTTCAAACAAATAAACGATCTCCGTCAACCAACGATTATCCTTGTCCTAATTTGTAATCAGGCATCGTAGTAAATGAAGATATCAAAGTTACAGATAGCTGAAATTTGCTACAATAAAATGAAAGTAAATATCCTGTGAATTATTATACCTTCCATTGGCGAAAACTCGAGAGGTGACATAAAATTACAAGTCACAAGGACGACACTTAGACCACTTTCAATCTCGTTTATTATTACAACTTACCAGCAACAAATTTACTTCGAGATTAACTAATGAAATACAAAAGTCCAGAACTTGGAACTAGCAAAAATTGATAATGCAAGTCGCAGCGCACGACCAGCTTCTTCAAATCATCATCATCATCATAAGGTCGTCAGTCCTAAGACTGGTTGGACACGTAGCTCCCCTCTTTCCTATCCTGAGCTAAACTTCGCATTTCCCTAAAACTAGAACAACCCATATACTTAACTACGAGGGTGGATTGATAAGTTTCCGGCCTGACCAAGAAAAACAAGGTTTTTAAAATTTTTTTTTTTTTATTTCTCAACATAATCTCCTCCAAGGCTGATACATTTCTCATAGCGGTGTTCCAGTCTATTAATGCCATCTCTATAGACTGATTCGTCAAGCTCCTCAAAATAACCATTTACAGCTTCGATTACTTCTTCATTGTCCGCAAATCTCT